ATAAACTCGCCCAAGTACCCAAGGCCTCGGACAATCGGCATCGGCCACCGATGGCATTGCCTCAAAGCCACGAACAGCCGCTGCAGGCCCAACACAGCCTACAATCGGTATCCCATACCGATCCTACAGAATCAGCCTCGAAGCACCCGCCAGAAATATCTAAATACTCGTGTCAACCTCATAGGGCCCTCCCACGAGTCCCACATCGGAATTGAGCACTAAGAGCATACTAAATGCCCTCTATAAATAGGCCCCTTCCACTACAATACAGGGGTAAGACTTTTCAGCTTGACTTTTATACTTCTATATGGTCAACAGCAAGAGCTCTTAAAACAACAAACTTACTTCAGCATCGGAGGGTCTTAGGCTGGTTCCACACCGGTTCCATAGACCTTACGAGTCTCGACTTCTTTCTATTCAGGATCAGCATCCAAGGACAGGAAGAATCGGCATCCAATATTCAATCGATCTCTTGATCGTCCATCCCATTTGTAAGTTGCACTCATCTCCATCTGTTCAGTTTTTAGTGCCAACAAACCATTTCTGGGAACAAGTACTCTTTCTGGGTTTTTGGTTTTTGGTTTATGGGTATTCATGGTGAAGGGAGGGAGGAGGAGCAGTTGAAATGGGTTTGCAAAATTTCCCCTCCAATTCGTCTTCATCATCTGAATTGGCACTGGAATTTTTAGGCGGTGGCTGGGTTAGTGGGTTTTGGGAGATGGCTGGGTGGTTCTTTGGGCGGCGACGGGAGAGTGGTGGCTGAGAGGTGGGGTTGAGTCGGGAGGGAGAGAGGTTGGAGAAGAGAGATGAGATTTTTTAAATAAAAAAATCATTTTTTTAATGATTTTAATATTATTTGAAAATTATTTTTAACATGTACATAATTTTTTATTAGTTTTTTGTCCACATCATCAAAAAAATGGAGCCCATATTCGCCACGTCAACATTTAACAGATTCACTAACGGTTTAGCTAACGGAGAGAGCAAATTGTAGATTTTCCGTGACGTTGAGTATGTACTCTTAAATGTCCCCAAAATCAGGTATAAACTCGTAAATGACCCTATAGATTGGGGGGGTTTACTGTAGTTAACCCTTTAATTTAATAATTAAGAGCTAGGATCTCGTCTAAGGGCCCTCCTCATTTCACTCTGGCTAGACTTGGTCATTGGATTGGTCCTATAAAATATATCCGATTTATTTGACCCAATCCAAAATAGAAATGGGTTGGATTTCATGTATGTCATCGGTTTAACAAAGGGACAGCTTGGCTTGGTCCATTAATCTAAGCCCAAAACTAACCAGTATAAATATAATGTTGGGTCAGTCCATGTTGTGATGTGAATGGATTGAAATTTATTAGTAAGATCTAAAAAGCCCACATAGGATGGGTGGTGAGAAGGTCTTTTTTGCTAAAATGGAACAAAGCCAAGGTCTGTTTTTAACAGCTCAAAATTCCGACATTTCCTTGTTGCTATTTAAAAAATTATAAATTTGGACAAACCCATTAGAATTTAAAAAAATATAAAAGAATAAACAAGTGCATACGCCACAGGTAAGAGCAAAAGCTACAAACCAAAAAAGATTTGCTATATATGTTGTTTTGTTTATCCGGTTTGGCTTTGAGACAGGAAGGAAGCAGCAACAGGGTATTGGAAACTGGGGTCTGTTTTTTAGTCTCAAATGGAAAGCCTTTTCCAATTGGTAATGGATCGAAGGGTGAAACTTGAAATTCCTCTTCCATCAAACAGCTTGTAAATATGACAATGCATGAGTGAATGATTTGCTTCACAAGTTATGAACTCTCTGAGAGCTTTAGGCTGCTTCACAAGTCATCAGCTCAGTAGGCTAGGCAGGCAGGAACAGGATGGCAATAAAGTTGAAGACAGAATTGACATTTTTCAGCGTGAGACAAACAATAGGCCAGAATCTTTTGAAAATAATTGAGTTTCAATCAACCAAACAACCCCTGACCTATCGGGCTACTTAGCTTAGGGAATCCCAATGGATTTGTCTTCCCCTGCTGTAACCAACAACCTCTGAAAATAACTTTTTCCTTTTCTTCTAAATTCCCAATCAGATTGAGAGAGAGAGGGAGGGTGTTTGTGTGTGAGAGACACAAAGACAGAGTTGGTTAACCTAATTAGTACATAAAATAATCCATAACTTAATTAATAATCGATTAAAAAAGGAATAAACGTGACTATCTCCTTATCAATATGAACAAGGTTCATATTGTAGGTACGTCTGTCAGTATAGAATTTGACTTTGCATTTAGTTATCTTTTTTACAATCAAAGCTACCCAAATAGATAATAACAAGAGTCTGATTTAACTCTGACTCACTCTTTGAAATTAATTACTGTTTAGTTTAAAGATTTCCTCAAGAATGTAGCAGAGTAATCTCTCTAATATAATATGACTAGGAAGGAACCACAGTGACAAACTGATATATCTTTTGTCATGTTTCCCATGATTTCGTAGTTCGCTTGTTAAAAGGCTGTCTTCATAATCATAGCTGCATAAACATCCCAAAACCTCTTCCTCTGGATCACTTTCATTCTTTGAAGATATCGAGGGAAAGCATTCACTTTATATCACTAGCAACTTGCAAATTGCAATGGCTGAATTCCAAATTTCCAACACAAACATGATCCAAAGTGAAAGATCTTTAAAACTTGAAATTATGAATTGGGGTTGTCACAGAAAAAAAAAGGTTTGCACCATAATTATGCTAAGAGAAATCAAACATGCAGAATGGTATGCCATCAAAAGCGATCACAATGGCATCATTAAGACTTGAATACGAAATTCGATTTAGGGTTTTGGAGAAGGGAAAATCAGAACTTTCAAATTGGCAAAACCATGACCTTCTTTCCCATAATAAGCATCTTGTTTCCAACGTTCCAGCTGAAAAGAGGAAGAGAGAAGAGAACCTATACATACATATAAAAATACCCCACACTGCCTACCTATGTGGTATGCTATCATCCCATAACCAACCCCCCCACTGCCTAAAATTCTGAAGCATGATACGAGTGATCAACCCATATTCTTACTTAGCTCCAAAATGAACAAAAAAGACAGATACATGGAGAAAGAACCAAACCTCCAAATTTTTTATGGCTCAATGACGTAAGTAGAGTGGATGTTGCTCTTAATGGCCAGGATTTCTAGACTCTAAGCAGATAAATACTAAGTTCAGGACCTCCAGAACCATCAGGGTTCATCATGTAGAAGGCCTCAGAGTCCTTAGACCCCGCAACTCTCTCAAACTTAGCTCTCATGTACATGAGCTCACCTTCAGCTCCAACTCCATCTTCACTTCCTGGCAAAACACCAGCCCCCATTGAAATTGGCTCCAGAGCTTTCAAAACCTTCCACTCCCCAGGTCCACAGTCACGCTTCATAGCAAACCCACATTTCTTTCCATTGCAGTAAGTCCTCCAGAGTGGCTCCTCTAGCATTTTCAAACCTTTCTTCTCTGTTTTCTTCTCGCACTCCAAGGCAATCCGCACCAACCCAGAAGCCATTTCTCGAACCAAAACACTTGTGGGTGTTGCAAGCTCGATCAGGAAGGCAGGGCTCAACTTGGGTTCTTCTTGAAATGCCAGATGAACATGTCCACGACGATAGCCGAACAGAGTACCCATGACTCTGGTGCCGAGGCCAGAGCGAGAGCGGCTCTTACCAAACACTGTGAGAGCTGAGCGGAGCTTGGACACTGACATCAGAGAATGTTTCTTGCGTGGTATTATTGCGGGGATCAAAGCAGTGCCTGTTGGGACTGGGATTCTAAGCTCCTGTTCATCTTTCTCTAATTCCTCAGAGAAATGTGAGTATGATGAGTTGAAGTTTAAGATTTCGTGGTCATCTTCTTCATCATCCTCCACTTTCTTTTTCCAGTGGAAGTACCTCCTCGAGAAAGAGAAAGAAGAGTCATGAGGTAATTGTCCTCATCTGTGAAATTTAGGAAGAGAGAGAGAGAGAGAGAGAGAGAGAGAGAGAGCAGAGGAGTGGAAGTCTACAAAGGTTAATCAATTGGTTGGTATGACTATGGGACTCAATGGAGAGAAGAGTAAAAAAGATAGAGAAAGATCTGATTGTGTTGCTTCTATTCTAGTGGTTATATGGGGGTGTTTTTATTGTTTGCTTGCAACACCTTTTGTCATACTTTAGAGACTGGCAAGAGAATCCTGACAAAAAGAAGGTGAGCAGCCCCTACCTACCTGTAACAAGAAGAAATTGAGAGAGAAGGGGGTTGGAGACAACAATAGGTGAAAAGTGACTTTCGAGAGGGATAGAAATGGACAATAGATGAAAATACAGATTGATAATTTGATGGTGGAAGAAACAGAGGAGACAAACCCTTGTGTGATTTCTTTATCATGTGCAGGGAGGAGGGGCTGTGCAGAAAATAAGGTGGGTGTGTGTGTGTGTGTGTGGGGTAGACAAAGAAAGAGAGGCTTGACTGACTAGTCTGACTTGCATTGGAAACAGTTAAGGACAGGTAAAGCCACACCAACTGTACTCACACCAGGTCCAGGACCACCTCCTCCGATAAACTACATTGCTGCCCTTTCAGTCCTTTCTTGCCCCTGCTACTAGCAACAATGCAACAAGCACATGAACCCAGTAGCCACCATTAGCTACCATAATGTTTGTTTTGTGTTCTAACTTGTTTTCTTCTGCTTCCCTTTGTTTTATTTGTTGTTTGCACCTCAAGCTCAAATTGTTTAATTTATCTTTCTGGTTGAGAGAATGATTGGACTGATAGTTGCAGCTATTGTGCACAAGCAAGCAGTAGTTTTTATTTGATACTGAAGGTGCTGGATTTCTGGCTCTCTTCAAAGTTTGGTTTGTCAAAAACTATTGTCCTACCTTCCTTTGATTCCCAAATCTGAAAAACAAAAAAAACAAAAAAAAAAAAAAAAACATAACAGAAGTCCACATTTGAATGCACTAGGCCAAATGATCCAATCATGAAGGCTAATAACATTGAGCCAATAACCTATTTTCTCATTATTATCCACTTATGTTTGAATAATTTTAATATGGTAGATCCCTAGGTAAGAGGCCAACTTAGAATTTTTGTCTCAAATCATGACCTGCTGCATATGCTCTGCATGTGAAGCAGACTCTTGGTTGAATTTTGAGGCAGCATGAGCATCCCAAGTCCACCAATCCACAAATGAAATATTATTAGGATTTTATCCTTTTCATGGACCGACCAAATATCATCACGGATCAGCTAACTATGAATCTATGACCAGCACCAACAACTTGAAGTGAAATTATAACAGATTTAGATGTAACCAATAATTCTATACACTAATATTATTACTAGTTAAAGGTTCAGTTTCATCATCTGTCTGTGAACATTAAATATATTGAAGCAGTACAATCTGGATATCCAAAACATTCTCTAACAGTGAGAAAGATGACACCAAAAGCCTTGAAACAGGTCGGCACAAAAGTCATCTAGTTAACCAACCAAAACTAACTTCATCTCAATCAACCAAACAGTTCGGCCTCTTGTTAGAAAATGTTGTTGATGCTCATGCTCTTTTCATATCATCAAGGGTCTGGTGTTTAGAAAACTGACCTAATTAGGGAATAAACTAGCTACAGTACGAAAAGACTATCATAACCCTGATATTATATCAGAATTACCGCGGGTCACCTCCTCAGATTCACAGGAGCCCCCAATAGCATTGAATGCAAAAAATTTAGATTTATTTATCCACATCCACAGCTTTAGAATCAAAGAATTGATGCCACTTGGGTCTAATTCAGTGAAAAAAGATCTTAACTTGCAAACCAATAGTTTCAAGTTCGAACCCCATAACACCTTGATAGTGTATGAGAAACTCCATCCCTCTCTAGTTTAGACTACTACTTATATGAAATTATAAAATTTAAAAAAAAAAAAAAAGGTGTGGGTCGAGCAGGATTCTAAATTAGAGTAGGCTGGGCCTGGTAGGTGGGCTGCGGATAGGAGTTGCAGTGAGCTAGAACTTGTAGGATACGGAATTTAATAAAGTTTTTTCTTTTTACTTTTGAGTGCTGCTATTTTCACCCATCTGTTCTATTTTTTCACCCACCTTATCTTAAAAAATTTAAAGACAAATTTATCCCTCTGTAAAATGACTTCTAAAACCCTAAAAATATAACAAATTTTAAAAAGAAAATAAATTTTTTCTTTTAACTCTCCATATTCTTTCCATCTTCCTGACCTCAACAAATCCAGCAAGCACTTATTTACCCATCCCAATCCTTTAAAAAGTTAAAAAAAGAAAAAGAAAAATCAAATTCTCAACTCCACCTTTAATATTGTGTCAGGGTTGGTGGGTGTTGATAATAGAGGCCAAATTGTCCTTCAATTTTATTCAATTTTAAAGATTTTTCTATTTGATTAACCGACATGCGGGTCCTTATTCCATATAACATCACTTCAATTAAAATCCATGGCAATCTTGTTGGTCGTAGCCGTATTGTTGTGGTGGTGGTGTCGCGGCGGTGAAGCCACCAGTACTGCTAAGGGGTTGATGAGAATATTAATATAGTAGGGTAAGGTCGTGAAGTTGAAAAGACATGAAGATGAAGAGGGTTTTTTCTTTTGGTTAAATTTTTTATGTTTTTAACTTGGAGTTGATGGTGTTTGGTTGAATTAATAATTAAAGAGTATTTAGGACTAATGGTGGATGGAAATGTAAGATTTTATTTTTTTCAAATTTACATAGTAGGTGAGAAGATAAAGTGGGTGGGAAAATATGACAGGTGGGTGGAAATAGTAGCACTCTTACTTTTTTTTTTATGAGCATTAGCATCTTCATTCAGGTAATAAATAACAAATTTTGTAGACATAGCATTTTCATTGCGAAAAGTTGTGAAAACGCATATGCTTGCAAGTTGCAACACATGGAATTAATTAACTCGTGCTCTTGCTCTTCATGCATAAAATGGATTAAATCCTGCCCGCACCGCATTGTACAGAGGACGAAAGAGTGGTTTGGGGAGGTTGTCCCACTCATACCAATCCCAACCATCACACAGTTCTGGCTCCACATTTTGGGGCTCTCCATCTCCATGTTCCATCACCGCTCTCATGCAAACGGACGCGTACTGCCATGGCTTGCCTCCCTCTAGGAGAAGCTTGTTTGTTGTGGCTGTCAGAAACTCCATCCTCTTCTTGTCAATGTCTAAACCAGTTTCTTCCTTCAATTCTCTTGCTGCACACTCCTCGAAACTCTCACCTACATAAACACAAAATTAATATAATTTAGGGTTCGTTTGATGACCATTTCAGTTTTCACTTAAGCAAACACCAATTAGTTAATGACTTGGGATTAGAAAGACGAAAATTAACCCCTGTATTTGTGTATATAATTACGTACCGAGCTCGAGGTGGCCACCAGGTAGGGAAAAGGTGGAGTAGCCAAGAGAGCAACGGCGTCGTCCTAACAACACCTTCTTCCCTTTCAACAGGCACACCCCTACCGCCACTGTCGGTGCCGCTGTTGCCTCCGTTTGGTTTCCCATGCTCAATTAATTTCCTTTGAGTTTTTTGCTTTATTTCCTTCGTGTTTTTTGTGTACTGAATGTAGCTTGACTGCCCCGCCTTTTATAGATAGTCCCGATCCTTGGACTTTTTCTGGTCAAAGCTTTGTTCATCGATGCCCTTTTTATGCCATCTCATGATTGATTTTTTGCACTGCTGTCGTATATTTATTTCATTTTTTTTTTCCTTATCCGTTGTATTTGTATTTTAACATGTTTTTGGCGTGTGAACTGGATATCAATGCTGATAAAATAATCTAATTGCATATGATTAATGAGTCACGTTGGTTATATTATTAGTAAACATATGGATATAGTATAAACAAATTGTACATGTGAAATGGGAACCCGCCAAAAGGGGAGATTTCTATTCGATGTTGACAATGATAGTTACCTTAAAAAACCACTAATTTGTTTAAATGTATAACATTATTCTATGCCTTTTGAGTACTAATCCAGGCATCTCATCATATCATTAAGAGTCTAATTCTTGGAGTCTGTTGTGAGAAAGGGAGTTAAAATAAGAATAGCATGGATAAATGAGGAAAAAAAAACAAATGTATACTAATGTATCTATATATATAAAGCAAAAGGCAGAGAATGGTGAAACATTCAAAATACCAAAAAATGCCTTTGGTTAATGCAAACATTAAGAATTGAAATTATTAATTAAGTGAGGATAATATGGTAAATTTACACTTTTTGATATTAAAAAAATTTAAAATTAAAAGAAAAATCAGATAATTGATCCTCTTTTCATGGAACACAACTACCCATTATCTTTTTTAGTTCTAAAATAAATTTAATTTTTTCTTTTAAAAAGAGTCTCGCAGGCGCGGAAGTGCATGCAGAGAGGCTAGTGGAAGAGAAAACCAAAGCCAAAATTTGGTTAATGGTTATTAATGTAAATATATATAGTTGTTCTCTATGACGTATGTATTTTTTCTAACGTCCGGACTACTTGTATTATATAATGTATAATAATTATTATAAGCGCTTATACTTATATATGCATAACTTTGAATAAAGAAAAAAAAACTTACATTATTCTTTGAAAGTTATTTTTGGGGAGTGATTCTCTCAATATCGTTTCATTTTTTTATTGGCTCATGTCATTTTGAAAAGTTTTGCTCATATCGGCTATATTGCTATTGGTATTGCTCCCAGGGACGAATGTAGTCTTAGCCCCAAAAAAAAAAATCTATAACTAAATAAAAGAGATAGCCCACTTGCATTCACAGCAAAGAATCAAACCTAATTGAGTGGTAAAAAAAAAAAGAAGACAGAAAGCATTAGTTTGGGTGAAAACGTAAAGAGCCGACAAAGCCAGAGGCACCCCACCAACCAACGATTGGTCCAGCTCCATGTCAACAAATTAACCAGTCAATTTCTGCTCTATTTGTTTGTTGAGGTAATTTTCTTCACTTAGTTCTTATTATTAGGGAGTTATAATTATATTTTTTCTATAAACAACATTTAGGGATTTTTGAATTTGGGGATTTTTGAATATGCTTACATACATCATTCATGTTATAGGTTATACTTATAATGTCAGATCATCATCGAAATCCTAAGAGAGTGAAGAATATTTTGCATTTTTTTAAGAAAAAAA